TGTTAGTAGAAGAGGGAGGATTGAGTCGTGGTTTTAGTTTGGAAAGGGGGGGGGGGGGGGGGGGGGACTTAAAAAGTGGAGGAATCTAAAAATCTAAAATGCTGATTGGGAACTCATTCGGGTGTAAAAATGTCCAAATTTCACAGCGTTTTTTTTTTTTAATTATTTTATTTTTTTCCCCTCTGTTATTTTCAGAACCTAACCCATTGTGCAAAAAGTACTACACTTGGTCAAAATGCAGAAGGTGTTTTCAGTACAGTGTGGTGTCACTCTTCGTAGGGATCTGGTCGTCATTTGGTTCTTAGGAAAAAAAAAATTGTTCAAAAGGTAGAATCTTGGATTGTCGTGGTCCCCAGCTTTAGTGGCTCCTTTAAGACATTAGTATCCCATACCTGGTGAAAGACACGATACAAGTCCATCAGTGGTAGACAGGTGTGGGTTAATGGCTGATGGTCAGACACGCGGGGTTGAAGTAAATAAAGAGCACAGCGAGGAGCTGGAGTCACGTAGTTACATGCAGACAAAGTGCCATTCAGAGGGCAACATTACGCAAGCAGCGGCTTGAAAAAAGGAGTCATTTGGTCAAACTTCAGTGTATTTTGTTGCGATTTTAGGTGACGGACATTTTAATCCATAACTTTGAAATGGAAAGACGATATTTAAAAAAAAAAAATTTGCCAAGTAAAATTTGGAAAATGTGGCGTGCATTCCTCTTTTTAACGTGCTTTGATTTTTATTTTTGATATTTTTGGAACAGATTTTAGCCGTATAATTTGGAGAATATACACCTGGTCATGTCGCAATCGTTGCATGAGAAAAATTATGCAAAAACTCCACATCAACCTGAACACCATGCACGGGGATGGTGAAGGCAGCATCATGCTTTCCTTTACACAAGTTAGATCACAATATTTTCTCCTCTTAAAATCTGAAAAAAATGTAGTCTAATTGCACTAGCTTTAAAAATCAAAAACATCTAATTTACAGAATCTATCTTTTTAGACAAATGTTTCTCATAGTTAGCGAGGGTAAGAGTGTCTCTTTGAATTGAAAAGGTTGCCGTCCCTTGGTATAGATCAATTCTTTTTCACTTGTAAGAATGGCCCTGTCAAAGTCTGGACCTAAATTCCAATGAGAATGTGCTCCAAGTCTTTAAATCAATCCTTTGCATTGAACACGTCTACTCTTTAGTTATTCTAATCTGGCAGAGACACAATAGAAGTAGTTTTGCAAAGTACCGTCTTGAGTGAGGGTGAATACAAACACACTTTGGTTTTTTCAAAAATATGTGCTACTTTGTTTTAATCTCGCACATGAAGGCTCTACAAAATAAACAGACGTTTGTGGATGTAACATGATGAAAAGCGAAAATGTTAAAAGGTTATCATTAGATATTATTAGATGAGCAATGCTAACTGTGACGAGCTAGCAATATTTTCAAAATGAAACCATTTCCAGTAAAGCTTATTTTTCCACATATGCTGCCAACGTGTGCGTGTGCGTGTGTGTTGTGCAGCGTCAAACGTCCACCAAGGTCCTGAAACCAGCTCTGGGTGACAAATCCGAAATCTGTACAGATCCTCTGTCATCCTCTAAGTCAGCCTGAAATGGTGCACTAATCTGCAACATACCAGCCATTAATGTGACAAAACCGGCCTGGCAGGAGCTCCGCTTCTAACACTCATCGGGTCTAGAGCAGCAAAAGTGGAGCCGTGCGCGAGTGAAGAAGCTAAAAGGTTTGAGTGGCGTCACAATGGCTGCTGAGTGTGTTTATAGAAGCAGGAGGAAGGAGGGGAGCATGCATGTGTGTTGTACCCCCGTGCACCGAACAAGCAGCGCATTACATCGACATGTACAGAATCTATCAAGGCCAAAGTTCTCGCCTGCCTGACTGCCGGAGGGGAGCAGAGGTGGCGGTGGAGTGAAGGAGAGGAGGAGAGTGAGGGGCTGCGATCCGATTTTAAAATAGCAAGCAATGTTTAGGTGGCATCCTAAAAGGCTGTGGAAGTCAAACAAATGGCACCCTGGAAAAAGACAGCAGGGAGGGCAGTGGTGTGGCCAGTTTTCGTTTTAAGGACACGGTGCTGTGTAAATCAGAGCTCTGTCGACAATTTAACACGTGTCGCAAAAAGGTCACTAATCTTCACGTGAACATTCGAGGGGAAAACAAACTGGGAAAAGGTGGTCCTTTAAAAAAAAAAAACGTCAATGCACTTTGCAACCCTCTTTGGTTGGAGAGGGTAAAGTGACAGCTTGGAGAAAGAATAGGCCCACTCTGCTCTTTATAAATCTGGTGCTCTCTGACCAGATCTGTCAGGTCTAAGGACTAAAACATATTAGTCCTTCATGAGGCACGAAATTTTAGGTAATGGAGATAAAACTGCTTTAAATTTAACAGGAGAATTTTAAGGTTACATGTGGATAAACTTTTTTTATTTTGGGTGTTAACTTCCAGAAAATCTCCTTCACACTTTTTTGCTAAATGGTATAAATACATATTTTCACTTATATTTAGGAACTGATATAAGCTACTTTTTTTTTTTTTTACTTTCTGTAACAGCAGATTAATTTTGTAATTTTTTCTTTCCTCCTGTAGAAAACAACGTTTTGCTAGCTTCTCATTTTATCAACAAATAAGACTTTACACTTATTTTCTTTAGCTTATATGTCAACAAGAACAAGTATATGTCATTTCAAACTCACATTAATCTGCGCTACAAATTTTTTAGCTAGCCGTGCTGTAATGCTAATGCTAGCTAATTTAACAAGATAAGTGGACATCGATTTCCAAAACAGCCATAAAAATGATCAAATTCTTGCTAAAAGCTCTTTCAAAAAATAAAAATCTTTTAAAGAAACTACTAATTGCAATAGCAAGCTAACATATCGCCTGCCAAAGACTCACCGTTAGCGACTGATTTGGTCTCTCCTCTGCCTGCCATCTGGAAAAAAAAATTACAACAAAATGAAGGTTATAAAGCAGCAAAGACATGGAAATTTAATAAAAACATACCTGAACTACTTACTACAAAAATACATCCACCTCTCCCGTCGAATCATTTTTCCTTACATCACACTGTAAGCTAACGATGAGCTCGCTAACCACTACCCTGCTTCTCCACAGCCCAGACCACAGAACTCATTACAGCAGATGGGTCTGCTGTTGCCCAAGTATGAAAAACTGACCAAGGCACTTTGCAGAATATCCTCGACACACACACTTTTCTTTCTGCAGTAAAAAAAAGTTTTATATAAAATGCTGTGATGGTATTTGCAGTCTTACAGATTTTTTTTTCACTCAAAATGTTTCAGATCATCGTAGAAGGAAGTCTGTAAGGGTACAGATTAAAAAAAAAAAAAAAATTCACCAACTTTGGCAACAAAACATTCAGTGAAGCTGAGCGTAGAGCTGTGATTCGCAGAAGCTGCGACGTGACAAAGCCACCCATGAAAAGCGTGAACACCCTGCGTTTGGACACCGGTCACCCAGTCACAGCGGCGATCTGGACCCCCCATAAATCCGCTTCGTTACGGGTGTCGAGATGACCGGACTTGGGCTTGATTTATACGTTTTGACTCTTTTTTTACTGCTCTAAATTCCAATCAAGCCCGTAATAAATATCTGAAGTTCATGGGCGCCTTATTGCTAACTTCGAGGATAATAAGCAGTGGTGTCCAAACAAAGCAGAACAGAATGCAGCTGTGTCCGTGACAAGAGAGCAAAACAGCGTGACAGCAGAGCGTGGGGTCATTCTAGGACAGGCGTGTTGAGGAAACGCAGATTAATTACTCCTTTACCTCTCCAGGCTTATTCCAGATTGAATGCCGAGGTCAACTAGCTGTGAGAGTTCTTTAAAACAAAAACAAACACGAGTGATGGTTACTTCCATTCCTGCTACGGCGGGGTCAAAATAACGTGAGATTCCGGCTCCTTCCCCCCACCGCCGCCTCCTCTTTAGCAAAACATTCTCTTGAGTAGCAACAACTGGACACCGAGGACAAGCCTGGAAAGCTTTCCAAGACCACAAACCACTTCATGGCATAGTTAAGACTTCATCTGGATGTTGTAATGCTCAGCTAGCCTTTTTTTTTTCCTCCCCCACCCCTTCCCTTTTCCGATCTGGTCCTCTAATCACCCGGCTCATGTTAGAAGAAGACACAGAACGAGCGGAGATCAATAGGAGCTACCTTTGTCGGAGTGGCGCCTTTGTTTTCCCATAGACTCCTCTTGTTGGTGACATCAACGGGTTTCAGGTCCTGTCGGAGTGAATCGGGGAACAAAAGGCAGGGACAGAGCAATTTATCTGTGGCGCACGGCAACTGTAGATCTGTTTGATTTAGACTGAAGCAACAGATAGCTGGGAGAGTGAGGAGGAAGGGAAAAGCTGGAGGAGTGTTTGTTTGTTCAGAGGAAGTGGAAAAACGGAAACCTCATTCCAAACCCAACACATCTTACTTGAATCTGCTGTGAGGTTCGAACTCTGTTCTCGGGTTTTTTAGACTCATTTTGTTTTACACAAAGTCAACAGAATATCCTTCTCCTCTTGATTCCTTTACAGATCTCCCAGAAAACACAAAATCTTTGCAAAAACCTAGCGATAAATTATCAGTACACTTGAAATATGACAAAAAATAGCAGTCAACAACTCCTTAATATTGCTCAGCAATCGGCAGAATATTTCACTTATACAAAAGGAAAAAATGTCTCATTATAAGTGAAATAATCTGCCAGTGGAACCAGTACTTTTTTCAAATCAACATTAAGGAATAATTGACTTGTATTTCTTGCCGAAAAGTTTCTAGTAAGTTAGTTTTTCTCTTATTTGCACTAGAAACTAGACAAAAAAAATACCTGGTAAGATTTTGTGTTTTGCAGTGTGGTAAGCGCATACATTTTCAGACCATTAATAACCAACAAAGAAAGTAGCCAATGAGTCTTTTACGTCACAGTTTATTTAATTTCGCCCACTATTTTTTGCAGAGCTGTTTAATTCAGCCACACTGATGGTTTTTGGGTCAACCGGATAACTCAGAATTTAACAAAAGCGGCAATTAATTTTTTCACATATAATCAACTTGCCTTTCAAATCTTTTACTCTCAATACATAAAATCATCCTTTTAAAGCCACTTTTTTTTATTTTACCAAGACAAAAAAGCATAAATAGAAGAAAGATTAATTTTTTCCTGTGTGTTTAACAACAAACTATCATCAGATAAAACCGCATAATGAAAAACAAATTCTCCACTGGCTCATAATAAACTTTTAAAACTGCATGACAGAGTGCACCCAACTGCTGTCAGCAATTTCCATCTGTATGTTGAAATTACAATTATATCTGTGGCCACCAGGTGGCGCCAACTAGACAACCAGACTGTTTCCTGCAGGGAAGAGTCAGAAACTTTTTTTTTATTGAAAGGGATTAGATTTTGCAAGATGAAAGCTCTCTTGCAAAACTAGATAAAAAAAAAAGGGATAGACAAAAAGAAAGAAAAAAAAATGTTCCAATTCAAATCTTTTGTTATATAATGTAACCGATGCCCAGAAACTAGAGGAATCATAACCCACAGGAGGTAGCTGATCAGGACATTTCTCTCTTAATATACTTGTGTAAATGTTGCGGTTTATAAACCACTGAAAGCGATGCAGGATATTTCCTGGCAGTGACCTACCGTTGGCCTTCCTCCTGACGTCTTGCCGCTCTCTGGGGTTTTATTCAGCCAGTCGTTGATGCGGCCCGCCACGCCCGTCTTTATAACAGCTGCTTCCTGTTTGAACAAGGTCAAAAGTCAGCCAAACTTGCAGTAATCACTAGTCATTCAGCAGTATTCACACTTGGCGTTTCATCATGTTTCAGCTGCAAGTTTGATAGATGAGGAAGTGAAATGTTCCTGCCTTTTACCATCACCTAATAAGTAATGGGTCCAGTTACAGCTCTTAGTCATCAAGTAAAATGCAATGTGTGGTAGAAAAAAAAAACAAAAAAAACACTGCACAACACCCTAAACACAACATCTCTACAGTGAGAGATGGTGGTGGCAGCATTATGCTTTGGACATATTGTACTACAAGAACAGGAAAGAAGATTTATTGAGATAATACTTGAAATGTGAAGCTTGCAGATGGACTCCATTCAATCTAATTAAGTCTCAAATAAAATGAGTCGAAAATAAATAAATTAATAAAAGACAAAAATGTAAGTCTCTAGAGTCGGGTTTTGACTAGGAGGTCTGAAACATTTTCCTTCAATTTTCCCAGAATGCCTTGCTTCTTATAAAGAAAAAGGATACTTTAGGGTAAAAGGGATTTTACATGGCTGATAGAGAAATATCCCATAAAAAAAATAACTGTAACTGCATCAAAAGCTGGTTCTATAAAGTGTTGATACATGAAAACTCAAGAATAATTCTGCACTACTTTGTCCAGGCTTTCAATTGAGGTGGCAAAATTAAATTATTAATTAAATATATCTTTTTTTTTTTTTTGTAGTTTTCTTTCTTTTACCTTAAAAGTGCTTCCAGCACTTCCAGGTGAGCTGAACACGTTGCCTTTCTCCCACATGCTCTTAATGTTTCGTACGTCAGTGACCATGGGAAGATCCAACACGGTGGAGCGAGGGGATTTGGACTCCTTGTTCTCTCGCTGCGGAGACGAATAGCGACCGGGTTAAACAGGGATGGCAGCTGTAGCCGTGGCTGAGCCATGTTTTATTAAAAAGACAAGATTTCGTACCCACCCAGTGCCATTTTGTCCCCGTAAATAATGAATAAATAGCCTTAAACAACAGACCTGAGCGGCTGAGGTGTACTGCTCCAGCCGGTTGTCTATCTTGGACACCACAGGAGAATGAGACGCCTTCACAGAGCTGCAGAGACGACATTAATATGTCACACCCAAATATTTCAGATCGAGCTAATTTTAATATCAAACAAAAATAACCAACAGGCAACTTTTAGATGAAGTCCTACCTTTTCTGTGCCGACTTGTTCAGGAATTCTGCTCTTTCTCCAATCTGGAAAACAAGATCCAAACGAGTTAGAAATACTGCTTTTGTACCTCACTTGGACATTATTCCCTACTAACTGTGGATGAAAGATTTTTCTCACGTAAACTTCGAGGACAAATCTAAAATCCAAAACTTGATTGAGCTCATCAAAAAAGTCCCTCATTGTTCCCTCTGTGTGCAAAAGTTGCTCTCCAAACAAGCACACACATGCAGAAAACACAAGACAAACAGAGCAGGCTCTTTCCTTTCCTGCTGTAGAACTGTGGGAATCTCAGAGGGTTGTTTATGATATACACAACATGAAGACTTAAAGAGGGGACCGCATTCCTCAGTCACAACGTTCTGTAGATGGACAAAAGACAAATGCTCAGAAAAAGCTCTCGTTTTCCCCTTCTTTTTCTCTCCCCCCCCCCAATCTCTCTCTGTGAAAACAGACCTTTTGCTCGACTGCTACCGAATGTTGAAGTTCCAAAAATAGTCTCCCAACAGGAAATTCCCCATTCTCAGACGCATTTTTATTTTTTTTTTATAAAGAGCTGCATCCACCCGAACGCAGTTAAAGTAATCCTGTTAACCCTAATCGCTTTCCTGCACATCCCTGCAGCCTGTCCTTCATTTGGCCTGCTGTCCGTCTCTGCTTTATCTACAACACAAACCAGGGTTATGCTGGTTGACGGCTGATAACGGAAATGCGCGCACTTGGAGATGCGGGTTGCGCTGTGAGCTTTTTCCAAGCAGTGAGGCATAATTATCTATGCTTTTAATGTAACAGGATGCATAAAAATCGCCGTCGTCAAAAAACGGGGAAAAAAGTGTATATTCTCAATTGCATGCTTGTATTTTTTGAAATCTGAAATAGGCTTTTGACAGGTCTCACTGAGGCATGAAATTCACTCAGCACATAAATTGAGCAGGAAATTGCTCAATTTCTGGATGGAATACAAAACAAAACAAAAAAAAAAGCCAATATATCTCAGCTTGTGCAATTTTACATGGTACAACCGCAGCTAGATGAAATTGATTCAACTCTTTTTAATACAATGCCTCCATTTATAGGACTGGTACACCTAAAAGAGAAAACAAGACATCACAAAGGCCATAAAAAAGTATAAAGCTGTATTAGTCAATCTGTACACATTACTGTGTTAGCCACACTGCTAACTCTCCAGTTGCTTCTTAGCTGCTAGCTCCTTAACACAAATGTTAAACTGAACTGTTTTTTTGTTGTTGAATTTCCTACACAAGCTCCTCTGCTACTTTTAAAGTGAGACAGAAAAACAATATATTTTTTAATCTCTCTTTTTAGCTAGCTAGGTAGCCGACTAGCTAGCTAGAGTAAATAGCCTGCTTTTGTTAGCTAGCTGGCCAGATACCTAGATAGCAGATTTGCATCTTCTGGATTTGTTTACCATTCATAATCTTAAAAGTAAAGGACACTGCTGGTATGTAATCAAATTTATGTCTCAATTATTTTTAAGGAGCCAACAACTGTACTCTGGTTATTTTTTTCAAAAGATATTTGTTGCCTGTCATTAAACAAAAAAATTGTTAACGTTTCAGTTAAAACGACCGTTTCTGATGCCGTGGCTGTAGTATGCGACAGCATTAGCATTATATTTAAGAAGAAGAAGCCCCTCGGATAATACTGGATTCATTTTTTGAAAACTGTTGCACTGAAGTCAGATTCCTGAGTGGGAAGGTTTGGGGCTGCCAAACATTCCCACATATAGTGAAAGTTGCAGGAAAAACTTTTTATTAGCCGTTCTGATGGTTAGAACTGTCATTTTCAATACGTTGAAAATGACAGTGACAATGTCGCACATTTCTGTGATGTCCAATACGAACATTAACCGTATAGATGTTTAAACTGCTGGAAGCCACAATTTCTAAGTGCAGCTGTGTAAAAATGCACACATTCCAACAAAATCACAACCTTAAGTTCCTTCATTAGCATGCAAACACACATGCATAAAAACACCCCCCAACACACATGCACAACAGTACCTACAGTGAACATGATGACAAAGTAAGGCTGTGTCTGAAAGGTGGAGAATTGAAATTTATTTACAACCCGGCGACATTTAGGACTCTGGTGTGATCAGAGCTCACCATCAGAGCCCTCATTTAGTCTGGGGGTCTCTCTGGGCCAGGACCATATTACTGCTAAATGTCCATAATTAGGTTTTCTCCACACGCTGAAAATCCCCCTTGGTTTTCAGCGTGTGGGAGTTGACTTCTGGCAACACTGGAGACATTTATTCACATTTAAGTTACTTAAACCTTCCTTATCTGTGACAGTTTTATGAAGAGGAAAGGAAGTGCGGGACACAAAATGTGGATCTTTTTTATACATGTTTATTTGTGATAAACAGGATAAGGTATCTGCAGACTTTTAAAGAGTCACTGAACTTCTCTTCATTTGTGCGAAATGCTTGATCTTTGTGAGATAACTCTTCATAAATAAGACCTAAAGAAGTCTTAATCTTTTAACATTTTGGATAATGAGTAAAAACTTTGAAGTACTGCCAGATGAGGGAGATTTTAGGCAAAAGATGCAATGCTGTGAAAATGTACCTGTTCACTATTTGTCTATCCAGTAAGTTTTTAATTAAAACGTCTCACTTTTGGCCACCAGGGGCGCCGTTTCAACAACAGCTTAGGATCTTTGGCATGTACAAAAAAAAGTTTAAGAAATTACAAAACAACTTGTACTCAGAGTTTGTTGTGAGTTTTGTTATAAAACAAAACAGGTTGCAGCAAGTAGTTTCTACCTGCTGCAACAAGAAAAACTATTTTATATCCGACCAGAAATCATAAGTCTACTTTAACATGGCACAACTGGATAAAAGATCTCAGGACGAAATTTTAATTCCAGCATTTCAAAAATCTTCATGTTTTTCGCCTTGCTTGGCTTCATAGTGTCATCATTATTCATGAAGGAATGAGCCTGTAGCCTGAATGCCGGGTAATTAGACCATGCTCACACTCGATTAGACTGTAATATGATGGTATTTTCCCTGCAGGTTAACAACATACCGTGAGAATCTTGTACCAGTCCGTCCCTAATGGAGACAGATATAGAAGCCAAAAAAATAAAATAAAAAATAAATCAAGCAACAACGTTTTAGGTTTAAAGATACATTTCAGCCTCCCCGCCCTCAGAGTTTTCTTTACTTTAACCAGATCGGTTTGGTGGTTGGAGGACTTTTCCTCCTGAGTTCACCATCATGGAATGAGAGGTTTGAAGGAATGGAGCCGATTTTAAAAGAATAATTAATGTGAGCTTGAAGTGACAGCTCGAGAAGGTGAGCTTACCTTGAGAGAAGAGCCTCGAGGACTGACGCACTTGAACGGTTTCCCCTCCCCGTCCACGGTGTCGTCCACCTTCTGCCTCTTCTCCGCAGCCTCGGCCCGTCTCCTTTCAATCTCCTCTTTCATCTTCCTCTTCTCCTCCTGCGGCAGACAGACAGACGAGGCAGGCTTGATCGGGACTTTACTTTTACATTCGTTTTGTTATTGCTGAAGCTGCTGGACACTGTCAAACCAGCAATCCACTAAAACTCTTCATAAGTAATACTTGTAGGATAGGAGAGGAAAAAAACAACAACCTTACAGATTTCTTCAGTTTCTGCACTGTTTTTTTGTCTTTTTGTCTGTTGTAAGTGATTATTTAATTTATGTAGGGAAATAAGCTTTCAAAACCAATCAAAAATTTACAGATTATCCTCATAAGCCGCAATCTAAAGAAATACAAGAACACTTTGGAAACAAAGTCATAAACATCTATCAGTCTGGGAAATTATACCAGGCCATTTCTAAGGCTATGGGACTTCAGTGAACCACAGTGAGAGCCATTATCTACTAATGGAGAAAACGTGGAGCGGTGTGGAGCCATCCCACGAGTCGCCGATCTACCAAACGTTCTCGCTGAGCCAATCAAATTCTTGCCCAGGAGGTCGCAAAGAGGTCGCAAAGGAACCCAAAACAACTGAAGACCTCAAGAAAATCTAAGGGTCAGTGTGCAACAGCAAGAAACTGGGCAAAAATAGCCTCAGTGGGAGCTGAACGTTCCAAGGCCAAAGCCGACACTGACCGCAGCGCCAACCCCAAAGACTTCTGGGAAATCATTTGGAGAACTGACGAGACAGAGGAGGATGTTTCAAAAAGGTGAGAGTCCCTGCATATATGCCACAAAACATCAATTAAGAAAAACGAACACCACATGACAGTCCAACACGGTGGTGGCTGTGTCATGATGTGGGGCTTTTAATGTAATTAATGGAACCAAGAATTCTGCTCTGTAGAATAAAATCCATTAGGAGAATGTCATGAGTTTGTGACATCCACCAAGTCTGAATCTGAATTAGTTAGTTTGAATACATCTTTACCAAAGTAAACGTTTATAAAAATGATTTTGGATTAATCCAAACTTTGGATGAATTTTGTTGTGTGATGAAAAAGCAAAAACAAAAGCAATCTGTTTTTGAACTGTATGTTCTTGAAATATATTCATATCCAAGGACGGTGCCAGGAAAATGAAACAACGTGTCAGACAGTCAGACAATCAGAACCAATTAAAGACGAATCAAACCAATTTAGTTGACCAACTGCAGCAAGTTACCGACCTGCTAAGCTCCTCAGAAGATATTCTTATTTACAGTTCGCCCCCTCCGTCAGACAACGGCCCATTTTGGACAACAACCCAACAAACTGCTACAAAAACCAATTAGCGTACTAGGCGTTTGTAGTAAATTCAGACAATGGCTGGTGCTTGGCAGAGTGTCAACCCTCTCCAGCTTCCTTGTCTTGGTTAATTAGTCCCTCTGTATCTCTGGGCCATCTTTTAATTACTAACCAAAAGGCCTCATTAACATCACACAAGAGGAAGAGAGCGGGGGCCGATGGCGAGAGACGGGCCGCCACGTTCGGTGCCAAGATCAACAAAGACGACCCGGCCCGGGTGACGGCGGGAGCGCGGGGGCCCTCGGGTGGAAGGAAAAAGCGATGACGCCTCCATTTAGGCGAACACGACGACCCAAAGGAAGACTCACAGAAAGACATCGTGGTGAGGAAAGAGGAAAGAGTGACAGACGGTGGGTTAAGAATTAATAAATAGGGCGAGGACTTCAGTGTGAAGCGCAGATCTAGAGTCTGCCATCGTCGAAGAAGAAAAAGGTGAAAGCACCGTCGGTGAAGCATTACCTCCTCTCTGGCTTTACGTTCGGCCTCCTCCTGCTTCCGCTGCCTCTCCTCCTCCTCCAGCACCTTCCTCCTCTCCTCCCGCTTCCTCTTCAGCTCCTCCAGCTCGGCTTCGGCCTCCTGCTGCTTCTGCCTCATCCTCTCGAACTCCTCGCTCTCGGCGTCATCGCGCCTGCGCTTCAGCTCCTCCAGCTTGCGCTCTGCCTCTAGGCGGGCGTCGTCGTCCTGCTCGTCGCTGGCGGACACCTCGGGGGAACGGACGCTGCCGCGGCTGAGGCGGACACGAAAACACCGACTAGGGTTACCCGCTTGACATTTGATCTGAGCTTAATATTTAAACACAGACACCGAGGGATTTTCTCTCAGAGAACATAAAAAACACACACAGTACTGCTTTGCATGGTAAAGCTCGCGAAACGTTTCTGGCTAGAGTCGCAAAGCAGATTGAGTTGTTCCCCCAAAAGACCTGCAGCTGGAATTGCAACAAAAAGTGGTTCCATAAAGTGTTGACGAATACACAATAAAGTTATGCTAGCAGAATAAAGTCGTAAAATTACAAGAAAGTAGCAAAGATTTGTGACTTGCTCATCAAGTCCATGATTCTTTCTTCGAAACAAAAGTCCTGCTGCTGATAATAATTTGATGCTGATGCGTTTAAAGATTAAACACATCTTTACCAAAGTATCACTTCACAAGACGCTCAACATTCCTCATTTTAATTATTTTTCATGCGGAAGTTGTAAAGTTACCATTTCATTTTACTAATATTATGACTTCATTCTGGTAATATACATCTATTCTCGTAATATGAGCTTTTGTCTTACAACTATTCTAACATTACAATGTTTTTTCTTGTATTATTGCAATTTTACTATTGTAATGTAACTTCAGTCTAGTGTTATTTCAACTTAATGTTATACAATTTCAATTTCAGAACACTACTACTATATTATCGTGATATAACTGAGTACAGCTTTTCTCTCACAATACTAACAATACTAACACTCCTGTTTTATTAATAAAAGGCCACATTTCTGAGACATTTATGTGCAAATAATGTTATTTAGGCAGACAGTCAATGAGGAACAGCTCAACAGAAATGGATGGAGAGATGACCAGATAGATGGATACATGGACAGATAAACAGGTGATGGATAACATTAACTATAAATATAAATCGGTTAATAATAAAGTAATGAACTGACACTGGATAAGATAAGTTTCATAAAGGAACATATTTTATACAGTGTGAAATCTTCACAAACGTCCCACAACGGCTAATTAACCCGGTTTCAACTTGGTGAAAAGTTCAGAAATATTTAAGACGACCGCATCGTCGGCACGAGAAGCAGACAGAGACGCAGCAGGTGCGCACCTGAGGGTCCTCTCGGGTTTCCTGTGCTGTTTGGGAGCCGCCTCATCATGCAGTCCTCCGTTATGCTTCCTCTGATCCTCCTCAGACTCTTCTCTCTCGTTCACCTGCTGCCACACACACACACACACACACACACACACACACACAAACGACAACAGCGACAGTGAGGGGCATGAGGTTAAAAAAGGGGCGGAGACGCAGAAAGAAGGGAGGGAGTGGTCGATTGTGAGCAAAATCCAAATAAGACGTGACTGAAACGTGACGAGTTGTCGAAGTGGAAGAGTTGCAGAAGGAACACAGTGACCACCACTCTGTGGAACGTAACGGAGTTGCCTCGGTTACGGTGCGGACCACGCCACAGACACCAGGTGCTCGGGTAATTTCAGCGTCCCGCTCGGTTAATCGCACCACATTTTTTTCTTTTTCTTTTTTGCTCTTTACCGAACTCCTTAAGAAGTCTGATTGTGACGCTGAAGTTACCCAGGAAGATCTTTCGCTTGAAGCGGTGCAGCACACCTACACTGGAGTTCTTACCGCGTGTATGATACCTCATTATCCTCTGATTGCTGTATATCAGATACCTCAAAGTCCTCTTCAATGTCATTTAGTAATAAACTCTTGCTCTCTGTTGGGATATCTACATAATCATCCTCAGGTACCTCTTCATCCTCCCCTGATGCTACTGAATCCTCCTCAGCCTCGGAGTTTGCTGACTTGGCCTGACTTGAACTCTCACCGACTACCGAATGGGTTTCGTCTTCATTGAGATCCTAAGAAAAGGGATTACAGCAGTTCTTTGAAGCACAAATCTGGGATTCGCTCAAGGATTTGTGCTAAAATAAAGAGAAATAAATCTCCAAGGGACTTGGCTGGCATACCTTGTGTTGCATTACACTCTCCTCTGCTGATGCCTGCAGAGACAAGCATCGTGTTTGCAGGTATTTGTCAGCAAAAAGTCATTTAACCCCGTGAACTTTTCTGAATTTTCCACAAATTTCAATGTGTTCCATTGGGATTTTATATGATAGATGCTCATGATTTAAAAATAAAACCTGACAAACCTTAACCTGGCACCTGGAAATAGATCCAATGCCACCAGCTGTCTACAAGATTTACAATCATCAATTTCTTCAGCAGAGTTTAAAAAAAGTCCCTCTGTTTCACAATTATCCACAACTGTCACATAAAATCACAATAAAATATGTTGTAATGTTAAAAAGTTGGTGTTAATGCCTGAAAACTACAAAACAGATGACCATGACTGACCTGTTCTCTCAGATTAGACTTTCTTGGTTTGGTTTCCACAACTTCAACTTTCTCCTCCTCCTCCTCCTCTAACTCCTCTTCCTCCCTCTCAGGAGCAGGCTCCTCTTCCTCCTCTCTAGGTTCCTCTTGCTCTTTCTCCTCCCGCCTCGAGCTGCTGCTCTCAGTCTTCTCCTCGTCCTCCACGGTGTCACGGTAGCGGCGGCTGCGCCAGGGTTGCCGTTCCTCCTCTGTGCTGTTCTTCTCCTGGCTGACGCCGTCGCCAGCGGGTTCCAGCTGCTTCTGCCTCTCCAGCGCCTCCTTCATGCGCCTTTGCCGCCTCTCCTCGCGCTTGGCCATGCGCTCCTGCAAGGCCAGCTCCTCGTCATCCCCGCCGCCGCCGTAGGAGCTGCTCACAGAGACGGACTCTGTCACGCTACGGGGAGAGGAAGAGGACAAACTGTTTCACTGCGGGGGATCGTTGCGTTAGGTCAGAGAAGGCGGCGGCTGTTCAGACAACGTGTTTATAAGGGCACTTTACAGTTTTTGTAATTTTTTTTGTTGTATTTATTTCACTGTTTATTAATGATTACATTTAAGATGCGTTATTTTCAAGCATCTGGTACCAAAAATATGGACTCAAAAGTAAATCAATGTGCTTATAATGGAGAGCTGGAGAAACTAAACAAAACCACATAAAGCACATCAAAATACTAAAGCACAACATTCTTAGCATAGCCGCCGAATAATGCGAAGTAGATGAGAAATATTTTTCATTGCACACCGTTTACCATTTCCTCTCAGTCCTTCAACCTTTCAGCAAAAGGTCAAAATCGAACAGTTTCAGGGTCAGGGCAAATCTGACAGGATGCACAAGAATTGAGAGAAAATGGGTTTGTTGAGTTTTTGTGGTGTGGTCTGTTATGTAAAAATTAGCAATAAAAGAAGTTTGTGCATCAGTGAAGTAAACAGGGAAACTTTTTCAAAAGCTAACTTTTTTTGTTATTCTCTTATTACCATGTTTTTACAATTAGTTAGGTTTTTAACACTGAAATGGACGGTGATGGAAATCAAGGTTTGCATCACTATTTGGCTTACGTAATTATTAATTATGAATCTGTCCCATTTTTGTAGTTACTTTGTTTAATTGTAATTCTGAAGTAATACTAGATTTGTGGCAAGACGGATTAAATAGAGTTTTAGCGAGTAAACAGTTGAACCTCAGCTATAAGCATTTAAAATATATAACATATAAATAATTAATAGAGAGCTAATGATTAAACTCAGACTTTTTTAAGGTTGCAAATGAATTCCTGAATGGAAACCCTGCTCTGGTTAGCGCTTAGCTAATGGGAATATTTAATTTTTTTTTCCAAACTGAGATTGCCGTGACTGCAGGTAGGACACAATAAATCACTACTTTACATTTACACACCTACGTCCAAAACAAATACCTACATCTGCGTAATCAATCTTAAGCCAACACACAAACAGACCGTCTGAAAGTGTATATCCTCCGACCTCGCTCAAAACCAGCGTGACTCAAACTGCTCTGGCCTAAAACGTCTGGCAAACATTATCGCTCACTGCAAACGATCAACAATGGTTTATTGCTTGGTCGCGTCTCCGCGTCCTCGGGCACAGACCCCTTGTTGTTTGACCAGCCCAGGATGCATCTCCGAGCCCAAAGGGAGGAAACATTCATGACCACAAAGCGACGTTTGTATTTCTGGATGTCGGTTCATCCCACCACTTCCACTGTTGCAAAGACGATTCATCAAACAACCAATGCAACGCAATGGATTTTTTCCCTTTTTGGCTATTTTTCAGATGAGATCATACATTACTGAGACACCAAGCATGGATTTTTTTTTTTCTTCTAGAAAGGAAGTCCTCCCAATTTGCTGCTTGCTTTATTCACTATCTAGGTCATCGACATTTCATTTGAGATGAAGAAGCGCCATTTACTCAGCTATTCTAGTTTGTGGCTTAAAAAGCTGAACTCTGTACCAGCAGGAAACTTCCCCCCTGCTGAGGGAGAGCTGAACCGTTCGCTATAATTTGCATTTTTGTTTCCAGCCCTGATTTAACAGCGACACTGGGAGCCAAGAAGTTCGTACAGTCGTGTTTCAGCGCGAGCGTCACCTGTGGCTGTTGGTCAAGACGGCGCCGTCCGGCTGGCTGCTGGGCTCCTCGCTCTCCCGGTTCCTCAGCCTCTCCTGACGTGCCCTGCGCCTCCTCTCCCGGGCCGCCTCCTCCTCGTCGTCATCGTTCCTGAGCATGCTGAGGGCAGCGAGAAGAAGAAGAAGAAAAGCCAAGTGAGAGGACGAAAGGACATTTTCTTCTATTTTTTTTCCCTCTTAAGCCAACTTCCAACCCTTCTTCCCTTCCTCAATTAAACCTCCAAGTCAGAAACTTCAAAGTGAATGATTCTTTAAATTGGACTGTAATCACCACAGTGACCAGAGCTGATGGATTTGCTTCGGGGGTTTTTTTTTTTCCTCACACCCCCCGCCCCACTCCTTTTCTCTTATCACGCTGACCTGTCAGCTGTGAGACATCTAATACTTCTTATCGAGGCTGCAGTTTTCACGAGCGATAAAAAGTCAGCCTGAGACCTCGCTTGGCTGCGGATAAGAGAGAGCCATGAAAGTGTTTCGGGATTGTCCAAATCTGGTCTAAATTATAAGCGATCTTAACAGTTAATTTTTTGAGAAACGCATTAAAACCAGGAATTGGGATTCTCGAACATGAACAAAATTAAACGAAAAGTTGAAATAAAATCAAGAGACAAGTTGTTCTTTTGTGCTGACATGACGGGAATGAGCCAGTAACTATAGACATGTATGTCAAAGGTACATTAATTCAATTACAGCAGTGATAATCTTGTATGTTTTTGCAAGGGATGCACTTATCCGCATGCTAAAAGCGTCACGTTATTTAATCTTTAATTGAACTGGAATGGTGAGCCTGGGAATACTCTGGTTTTCATCCAGGCCATGGAAAACCCTTAGCAGGATCCTAAAGGTGCATGGAAGTTCACCTAACCAGTTCACATGTGTTTTATGGACATGGAGACCCCTTTATATGTGCTGTCAGGTTCCAGTGTGACCACCATCAGAACCTGGTCCACATTGACGGCAGTAAGTCAGACTTGTAGCGGTTCAGGCACCTAGTTAGGATCACTCCCTGGTGATGTGTTCCAGAAAAACACAGCTAATCCTTCTGGAACAACTTCCGCACCGAAGAGTGTTGCATGACGTAGTAGATATGCTGCATTCACTGATCAAAAAAAATATCTGATTTTTTGACCACCAGAAAAGGCAGGCAGAAGGGGAAAAAAGAAAAAGTCAATTCTGATCATGAGTTGATTTCTTGGTGCATCTTTAACTTAAAACAATGCTTCAGTTGTACTTATTTTATTGAAATCTATGATGTAACTGGTAATTTTGTAAAAAAGGGGGAAAAAAATCCGTTTCTGTAAAAATATGTTTTCCACTCTTAGATCGTTTTTTAAAATTTAATCTCAAATTTTCTGCATTTCACACTGTTTTCTAAACAAGTGTGCCGATTAAGCGGCGGGAAGTGCAGGCAATAAAAATCAAAGACGTTTTACTGCTTCAAACAACAACAATTTAAAAAAAAAAAAAAACAGCAGCTTTTCAGCTGCTGCTGATTTTCCACCTGGAGGTATCTGGTCAAGCCTCCAGCAGATGGGATAACGGCCAGAGGAGGTCGAGTCTTGGACATGGGTAAACATCTGGATTTTGAATTAGGTTTTACAACTTTCTTGCTCTATTTACTACAATGCCCAGACATTACCAAGGATGTACTGTTGTAAAAGAAAACAAAAGAGGCAAAGAACAACACTGTGGTTACATCTATTTAATGCCCTGCATCAACAAGACATCATAAGAAGGTAATAAAAAAGTTCACGGTCTATTTCCCTTTAAAGATGTGATGAAAAGCAACAAGTCCAGGCCTTCCTCTGGGGCCAGTGTCGGCTTACGGGATCCAGGAAGGTGCAACCGAACATGAGCTACAATAAGCAGTTTACATGGAAGATGCTGCACTTCCAAGTACCTCCGATACTAAACTACCTCTTAAATATGGATGCCCGACATCAAAGTCATCATTTTGGTGTTTTTTCTCGCCCCCCCTTTAAATTTTAGGACTTCTGGTTGAAATCGGGCCACCTCACGTTCATGAACAGAGTTCCACGCTTCGTCGCCGCTGCCCTGGCTGACCTTTACACTCCCACCGCGAACCACATGCCCTAGCTACCGCAGATCGCAGCGCAGCTTCTTGAGGTCAGCCAGCGAAGCATGCCTCTGCATGTTAATTGCAACATGTGTGGTGAGCGGAGCCAAAGCTGCTCTGGTTTATGCAAAGTTTTACAGCTTGTGAACAACTTTTCCCTTCATTTCGCCCCGTTCGGCTGCTACCCGTCTCTCTGGCTCTGGCTCCAATTTTGCTCCCACATGGGCCGTGTTGTCATAACAGCGCAGATAAATCTGCTGACGCCCAGGCGAGGCCTGTGGGACGGTGACGTCGGTGATGTCAGGCAGCGCTTTACGTGTGTGATTCTTTAAGTCGGGGAACTTTGGGGTATGAAATTGACTTAATTACAAGAATTGCCGGAAGAAAATGAAAAAAAAAAAAAAGCTAAATTTGCCGTCTTTCTAATCTCTTAAGATCTCGGATGGTGTTTGAGCTGATGTGGTTCAGGCTTCAGCCAATACGACAAAGTGCTTTGGAGCCAAACATCTCTACTAGTATGTGTTCGAGAAGTCTTCTGGTTTGTTCAGATGCAGCTTGGTAAACCCCAAGTCATGCAGTTATGTCCTTTTTTACCCCCCTTATCCAGAAAGCAGCTCTTTTTTGTGTTAATACACATCTGTATCCCTTAGCCCAACAATCTGGGAATAATCTTTTTCACCAGCGGAGGAGAGACTTGAAATAACCTGGAAACAGCCCGACATTCTTCCCATATTGGTAGGGAGTAACACTTGCTGCTCTGAGGTCATTGCTGATGTCTTTCCAGCTTCACATTGTGTTAGCAAGTATTTATGCTTCAGATCAGCAGACCAAGAATCCTATTTTCCCCCCGGTAGGAAGACAAGAGTTCGACTGTTTGGTAAATGGATTTATAACCCGTTTCCAGACTGACGGGCAGCAGCAGTTGCATCTTTGAGGTTACTGCTGATGTCTTCCTGCTTTGGCATTGTATTTACACAGAGGACTCCTCCATTTCATTACTGATTAAGCAGGCTTCCAAAATGTGGTCACACTTGCTGTTGAGCCATAAATCAAGTACGATTGATTAGCAGCTCCTGGATGTTCCTTTTTTCTCTTAAATCCAAAAGAAGTCGGCCTAAACTTACTTAGTTTTTTTCCCCCCCATGACTGTAAGGAAACCTATTTTCTCGTGACACTAGCAATAAGTTACATTGGAAGAATTGAGAATATTAGGAATTATTTTACATTTTATTATATTTCTCTGCAGGAAAAGCCTAACAAATTCATAAAACTGTCCCGTGCTCTTACATTCAGCCACAATTCAAAAGAGTAATATATATGCTTTTCTAAATAACATCCTCTTTAACTATACGCCCCTTTAATAGAAAGCACATTAACCTTGCCATGGCAACGTGATGTTTTTACAGACAAAAAAAAAAAAAAGTTGTGAAACAACCGGCGTAGCTCCCACGGGACTGGTCCGCCCCAGAAACGGCACCGAATGTCATGAGAAAAAGGGAAAGACACGGGCTAAATATGGAACAAAAGGGTCCTTGGTGGCTGTGATGACGACGACGATCTCAGGGTTAAAGATTCCCCCAGTAGGAGAGAAGAGCAAACTCCTAAAAGCTGAATTAGCATTCCCGTCAATCACAGCCTTGGCTGGAGACGCATGCACTAAGCAAAGCTCTGATTTAATATCCCCTCCCCTTCCCACCGCCTCCTTCCGTACCTGGGCCCCAAACTCTATCAGCATACTGACAGAAATATGAGGTGGGAGCAGAGGACAAGAGAGAGCAAGCAAAACGGGGAGCAGGGACAAAAAGGAGAAGCGGGAAATGAAAAACGGGAAGGAAAGGGTGTGCACAATAATGGAAAAAGGAGTAATCTGCAGATTTTATCACGGCCAACTTTTCCTGTACAAAATGATGTGCAGCCACGGTTAGAAGCTGCTGCTAAGTGCGTTTGCCGGTGTATACCCTTCAACAGATGTCTGTTTCTAGGGAAACCAAACACAGAATGTAAAGGAAACAACATTCGAAACCACAAGGTGACATCTTACATATTTATAGCGAGAAGTATTCACACCTCTTGAACTTCCCTACATTTTGTCAACGTTACAGCCGCGTTCTGTGAGTGGAACTTTTATGCTTTTATGATGTGTCAACACTTTGCAGCGCGATATTGTTACGTGGCAGGAAAAATGATTTTATTTCCCTTCCGCTCCACAAATATGCACAACTTTATGTTCACGTGAAATCCTAAAAAAAAAAAAAAAAAATAGACTAAGCTTTTTCTAACATAACAAAAAAGTTCAAGACACAGCAGTTTGACATGAGTTTACAGCTGAAAATATAAGGCAATACAGCATAGGTCTGAGTGAGCTTTAAAAAAAAAAAATCAACCGTCTGCAGACATAGCATCGCCATCAGTGAGCTTATTAGGGAGAAAAATGTCCAAATATTATCATTACAAGAAAATATCCCAGAAATGTCAGTGAAAATAATTTGTGAAATGCCCATGGGAAAGGGGTTCTTAAAGCCTCCGTGGCAACAGTGGGACAGAGCGATGCGAGGGAGGAAAGTGAAAAGAGAAAGGCTGCAGGGACGAGCGGGGTAGAGGAATTAAGGATGGTAGAGAGGTTGGGGGGGAGTGAAGGGCGGGGGCTTGGACTGGGCTGTCAGAAATGCTGACCCATTCCCACGCTGGTCTCCCTGGATCATTTCCCTTCCTACTGCCGGTCCACAGTCCACTCTCCCTGCGTCCCTCCAAGGATACACAACGTTAGCTGATACAAAGTCCCACCCAAACGCATTTATTCCTACTCGCAGATAAACGTCGCACGCGAGTGTTAAAAAGCAAGGTATCAACCTCTCCGTCCATGTCCATCCGTGTCCCTGTCAGAAGTCGAAGGTTTACGAAGCACGATCGGGTCATGTTTGGAGTGGTGTTCAGCCAGGGTGGGGACTGTTTGACATGGCTCATTCACAGGGGATGGGTGTTATTTCCTCAGCACTTCCTGGTCTCTCGAGGGGAGTGTCAGG